GAAGGGAAAGAAGAGGAGGAAAAAAATGTGTGTATGTGTGCATGGATACAGTGTACGTGTGTGTGAAGCAATAGCTGTTACAGTATTAAGTCTGTGTCATAATGGGAAATATAATATATTTAAAAATATCTATTTAAGCCTGTTATTTAGAAATATTAGGTAACTAGCAGAAGAAACTACTCACTTTCTTTATAAACCTCAAAGTATTATTTAAAGCTCTGCGGAGGCATTTATGTATGAAACGATGATTGGAAAAAATAATTTTAAAAGATAATTTTAAATTATTTAAATTATTATTTCTGAGAAATCCAGAGATGAAAAAAAAATCTCTATTGAAGACTAAAAACTATCTCTAATCTCAGTCAGAGTTCAGACTACCAGGCTGACAGAACTCTGCAAGAAAATATAGACAGCCTGCTCCTTTTAAAAGAGTTCATCTGGAGGCCAATTTACATAGCCTCTTAGCCTCTCTCGTCTCATCCCTAAACCGAAGAAGTCAGTTTGGAACTAACTAAACTCAAATGCAGGGCAAATAACAAAAGTGAAACAGACCAGATACAAATGCCCGCATCCCTTGTACAGGGTAGTCTCTACTCAGATCTAGCCAACTGTCACCATGAAGGCCTCCTGTTACTAAGAAGGCCAACGAGTTCAAGAGAAACTGTAAATCTGGATTTTTATGTGAAAGCTCTGGACTTTTTTCTCCCCCTCTCTTTAATTCCCCCCACCACCCTCTTCCACCCCTGACCTATAGATGTTGCCATTTCCCCTTAAGAACTGGATCTCTGAAGGCAGGGTGTCCCCTCCCACACGCTCACGGCGTACACCGGCGGCCAGCACACCCGAGGCCTGGCACCCCCCTCGCACTCGGCACACTTGGGGGGCCTAGCGTACCCAGAGGACCTGACGCACCCAGGGTATGGTCCATGGCTCCACCTGGGGAGTGAACTCAGGACCTTCTGCATGCAAAGCAGATGTGCTAACCACTACACTATGGAGCCGCCTTGAAACCTCTGGATTTTTAAATACTAATTTAAAATACACAGTGCCTACCAAACCAAACTCATCTGCAGGCCACTGCCAACTCACAGGTTGCAGGTGTGAGACCTTTAAATTAGGTGAACTTTGGTGATCCCTTTAGGTCACTGAATTGTCTCATTCCTAAAAATCTTCACTGAATGTATGGGTTTCTCCATCACCAAAGAGGCAATATGTTTAAATATCATATTACTTCACTTTCTGACTTGTATCTTCACTGTGAACACTCACAAATCTTAAGACCCAAGATTTCATACAGCTTTCATCAAAGGAAGCACAGTCATAAACAGAGAGAGTTTCCGTCGAAC